CTTCAATTTCTGTCAGTAGATAATCAAGTGATTTTGAAGGAATTTCTAATAAACAAGCCATTTGGATTTTTCAAAGAATGAAAATAAAATTTGTCAGGTTAACAGACCAAGTGCAATTTACAGCCTTTGAGTTATTTAAATTTAAGTTTTTATTTATTCTAAATGGTATGGAATCAATTGACTTCTTGTTGAAAATGTAGAGTTAATTTCAACATTCTCCCTCTATTTTAGCTATTTGCACTGTCTTGTTTTCAACTTTCTCTGCTTTTTAGGATTACTGGGTAACTAACTTGCTCTAAGCCAATGGGCACTTAGACATAATAATATTTATAATAATATACATTTTCCATGTATATTAGTAGACAGGAAATCCTTTAGTGTACTGGGCAATCATCTCATGGAATTTGTTTCACTCCCAAGTTTTTATCAAGCTCTGTTAGGGGAAAGGAGAACCCTCTAAAAGTTGCCTCAATCCCTACATCTGGCTTCAAAGCTCAATTAGTGGTAGTGCCCAACCAGTATGTGAGAGGCGTGAGTTTGAATCCTTCTGAAGCCTTAATTTTTTTAGGCTTCTTTTCTGCAAGTACTAAAATTGCATTTCACCTGCAAGGATCATTTCTTTGCTTAATCATCTCTGCCAATCGTGGATTGACTAGAGATTGTTGTGGAGAAATCTTTTCTTTTTCTCTTTTGTAGTATTAAGAAGATATCAGTGGCTACACCCAGCCAGTCTGCTGGCATCGAGGGGGTTGAACTTGGAACGATTGACAAGGTAGACATTTATTTTTAGCCATAGATGGAAACAAGAAACAAACTTGGTTAGCAGTGACAGTTAGAAATGGCAAGTTCACTGATTAGTATCATATAATTGGCCTTAGAGATTGAATTAAACTTCATTTAAGGCATACATCTTCTACCTAAAGAACTACAACTTGTTTTCCAGGTGTTTTCATTTCAAAAAAAGACTTGGTCCTAATGGGTAGTTTAGAATAGCAGGAAGGTAGATTTGAATACCTGAAGAGTTACTTATTCCTACAAAGTTCTGGGCTCCATTGTAAAATTTTGAAGTTCTAAACTCTTGCAATTGTTCCACTTTATGTCACTTTGGTTTTCCCCAAAGTCAATCCATTTGAACAAATATGAAGAGAATTTCACATAATTATATGTTAGGGATACATTGACATTTGTGTAAAGGCTACAATTTAAATGTGTGCTGTATCCAATGCATCACATGCAGGCAGATCTACCCACTAAACGGCTTCTGTTAAAAACCTTGGTTGCTGTAATCTGTATTATATGTACTGAATTAAATATCTTTTTTTTTTAATTTGTTCCTTTTTAGCCAGTATCATACAGATCATTTTTGATATCAACATACCCTTGTGCTTGGAGTGAGGTTGTTGTCAACAAAGGATCTCCATCTGTACCTCTACAGATGGATGCTGGAGCACTTCTTTCAGGTAAAAGAACTTTAATATCTCTTATCTGAAACTTTCGTTATCACAGAACTTAACCAGAATTTCACTACATCAGGGGTGGTGTAATAGGCCTGGCTGTTCCTAGAAAAGGGACCATAAGGCCCTCTTCTTTCCAAAGGGGGTCTGGCAGGGGCTTCATTAATGTTTTCTGCAGGAGGGCAACTGGTTTTCACAGGCAGGCAAAACTCTTTGAACTGAACTTCTTTATAAGATAAACTTTACTCTAGACCGTCAAATCAGGTGGGCAAAACCGTCCTCACAACCGGTCAATTTTCCCAGTGCCTGGCCCTCAATGAAACCCCTGGAGTCTGGTGGTATGCTTTGTTGATAATGTTTGAAATTTAGAAGTTCAGAAATGTAATTTCAAGAATTCTGGGCATGAAAAAGAGAACTTGTAAGCTAAACAGATGAGAGGACTTACAAGAGGTGGTAGACTGATGGTAAACTTTTGTTATTGAAACCTGTGTTACATGAAAGGATGATATTCAGTACTTGCTCGTTAAAGTAATGATCTGGGCATTCAGTTTTCCAATGTTGTGAACATTTTCTGTTTTTTGTGTCCATCAGAGAATGTTGAGGGAACGGTGCCTTCACCCAGTGGGTATGATCCTCATCTTCTTGATGATCCTGAACTGAAGTCAGGTCGGCACAGGAAGGTTCTCAACCTTACATCATACCTGGTCAGTATATGTAGATGTAGATTTATTTACACTCGAAATTTATGGAGCTTGTCAGGCACCTAGCTTAGATAGCTAATGAATCGAGTAGAAAATAAATGAAATATACTAAAAAGTTACAATAAAAGTTCAGAGATGATAAGTAAAATATAAGGTTAACTAATTAATTAAGCAGTCAGTAACATTATAAATACACTAATATAGCTATATACATGCTACTGAAAAGATAGGATACTAAAACTACATCCAGAGTAAAAATTAGATTAAGTCTAAGAACTACAAAGGGTAC